GGGAGAACAAAACCCAGGTTCTTAGTAGGTGAAAGAGAGGTATGAGCTTTTCTGGCCAGCAAAAACAAAAACTACAAACAGACATTTCTTAGCCATTTATTTTCATTAGCAAGACTGTCAGGACATTTAACATTTCTGAATTGAGTTAATAGAAAAATAAAATCTGATTTTAACAAAAAGTCATCAAATGGAACCATTTTTTAGGGCAATTCTTTTGGGGTAATTTACTATCAAATGTCTGGATCCTGTCTCAGAGCAGGTAAACTTTCAGCATCATCCTGGTCAGGAAGAAATCCAGACAAACTATGACAAAATCTGTTGCTTCGAAGTCCTGTTCTTCACCACATGGTCAAAGCCAAAGCAAAAAAGAAGAGGGACGATCATGTGATCTGCTCAGTGTATTTGCCACCAGACCCACAATGCAGTTTAGGCATGGTAAATTTGGCTGATTGTTTCTGGCACCTTCTTACCTCTGATTTTCTGTTTCAACTTCCTGGATAACAAGAACCCCCTGTCACCACCAGCCTGTTACTAGGGGCAGCTTCCTCTCCCATTCCTTTCTCAAGCAATATGTCCTTTTTCAGAATTGCTTCCACTGCTTTCTACCTCTCAGATCCTCAGTACTTGTCCTCGGTTAGGGGTTAACATGAAAATAATTTGGAGAAAAGAAAAAATAATGCTATTAGACCATTCCATTTGTGTTAAATAATTTTCATGACGGGATCTCCAAGTAGACTCCTCCCTTAGACGTCCAAGTTCTAATGTCTCACACTTTCTTTTTACTGTTTTCTGTTCTTTTTCACAGCATCTTACCAGGTATGGGCTCTGCAGAGTGACTTCCTTCAAAAGAGGACAGTGTGGAAAGTAGGCAGTGGGGGGAGGACCTTTAAGTGGAGACACTGGACAAACACTGCCAGGTTGACACAGGAGGTGCTCGGTGTTCCTGGGCTCGGGTTTCAGGACAGGCCTCTGCATTTCCAGCCATTCCCTGAGGTCTCAGGCCCCCTCCTTTGAGCTCTCCCCTGGAGGAAAGTAACTGTTGCCAGTTAGACCTATTTTTAGCACCAACGGGAAAATGAGACCACAGGGGCCTGGCTTGTGCAATCCAGTGGCTGGGCGTGCTCAAGAGAGAGCCCAGAACATTCTGATGCACACAACTGGGACTCACCCCCTTAACTGAATATTCACTAGAGAGAAAAACTACCAAAGCCGAGTCCCAGCCAAAGGCAGGGTTGTCGCTGCTCACGTTCCTGGTGACAGCCTGCACTTTGCCGGCTGAAGTGTGTGTAATTTACTTCGCATCCAGCTTACTCTCAGCAGGCAGCTGCTCATTCTCTTGAGTCAGCCTACACTTCGTACTGAACTTTAATATGTTTTTCTTGCTTTCGTGTTAGAATTGATGTCTGTACTGAACTCACTTTTGTGTTAAACTTGGTGTGGACCCTGCCCGATCTCTGGAGCGTGCTGCAGTCTCTCTGTGGAACCTGTACTCCTTATCTGTTATATTAAACCTGTTCTCACTTTCCACTGTGACTCTGCCCTTGAATTCTTTCCTGTGGTGGAGTCAAGAACCTGGTAAGAGGACTGGGTG